CAGTGCGACAACCTTATCGACGCATTGTCTCTTCTCAGTATGATTTAGTTCGCAATCATATTCAACAGCTACAACAAAGTCATGTTATCAGGGAAAGCAGTAGTCCATATGCTTCGCCAATAGTTTTAGTTCAGAAGAAGGATGGGACATTGCGCATGTGTGTGGACTATAGACAACTAAACTCTAAAACCAGAAAGGATGCATTCCCTTTACCCAGAATTGATGAATCCTTGGATGCTCTGGCTGGGGCACAGTGGTTCACAACATTAGATTTGGCAAGTGGGTATAGTCAAGTTGAGATGGCTGAGAAAGACAAGGAAAAAACAGCTTTTTGTACTCCATTTGGATTATTTGGGTTTAAATGCATGCCTTTTGGATTATGTAACGCACCCAGTACTTTTCAGCGTCTTATGGAGCGCTTGTTCGGAGATTGCCATTACCAGTCATTACTGCTGTATTTAGACGATGTAATTGTCTTTTCATCATCAGTTCAACAACATTTGGAAAGATTAAATCAGGTATTTTCCAGATTAGAAACCCAGGGGTTAAAGGTTAAGTTGTCAAAATGTGGAGGAAGCGACCCCTCGTGGTTCCACCTGTTACATAGAGATAACATCAAGAAATATTTTTATTCCTCATTAATTTTTATTCCTAAAAGCACATTGTCCAAAAAAAAAAAGAAATAGTACAGTGTAAGACCTGATTTATTATTACAATTTTAAACAGATCAAATAAATTAATAAGAAATGTTCACTTGTCTATACTGTCATTGATGGATCAAAATTTGTGGCGTTAAACTGAACAGAAAAGGGATGATTTCATACCAGCCACATGGACAAAATATTTGTCCTCTGATCAGCTCATCTGTGAATCTCAGCTACGCTCCTCTAAAGCCAGAGGATCAACAAAATACTTTTTGTATTAAGAGAAAAACTACTGACAGACGTAGTATCAACTGCTTGCACAAAACAAGAGAAAAACGTATTTCTTTTTATAAAGTGACAAAAGTACAAACACCTACAACTTGCAAATTGATACAATTTTTACACATGCAATTACTGGTAGGGAGATCGGGGACAGTTGCAACACTTTTTTGCATTTGACTCTGGTACTCAGAGATGGTTTGAACAAACCAAATTTTAAAACAACAAACTTACATCAGTCTGTTAAGAGTCAAAACCATTTATAGATGATTTCAACATAGTATCAGCTGTATGTGGTCTGTTTTTATATGGATTTATTGTACTTCCTGTCAGCCATGATAAAACCTCATGTGTTAGCTAAATAAGCTGATCTTGATACATGCTAACCATAGTGGTTAAAAGTCAACATATCTTGTTTAAACCATATAAATTGGAGCTGGATCACAAAAACAGTGGCAACAACAGTGTAACAAAAATAAAGCTAGGCAATATACTTTGGTACCTCAAAAAAAATTTTTTTTTTCAAATAAATCCTGGAGCAGTTTTTGAATCAATTTACTTTTTCTTTGCAAGGTGGGACATCTAACTGAGCATGTACAGTGAGTATAATCACTCTAACTCGTTTCTGTTGGGAGAAAAATGACGTGTTGGAACCGTCCCTTGTTGCTACTGTCCCTGGTCTCCCCTACCCCTTTGTTATTATTATTTATTAGGACTGTGCACATTAATCAACATTACCACAATACATGGCAGTGTAAATATGCAAGAGTTAGCACAGTAGCTAAATTTCATCCCTTGTCCTACAAGTAAGCACAAAACGTAACACCTCACTAAGGTACTATGGTAAACTTAGATTTATTTGCATTCCCAGAAAGCAAATAAATAAAAACATACATGTCAACTTGTACGGATTGTCCGTAAGTTATAAGTATTTTACATCATTTTTGCAGGTATACGGAAGTATAGCGCAATCTCAAAGATTTTTTCAAATCTTACGGATTTTTTCAAAACCTGATTTTCAAATTTGTCTAACATGTCAGAACCTATAAGATGATTTAAAAACAATAAATAACATTAAATAGCCATCTTCCAACCTGTTCAATAAGTTTTGAACATTTTCCGCTCTCCCTTCCTCCTGCTTCGCAGCGCGCGCTTTCACGTCCTCAGCGAGACTGACAACCCCCCCACCCCCGTGGGTACGAGTTGTATAGATTTTTTGCTAAATTTACGGATTTTTGAGGCTTTTGTACAGGTAAAGGTCCGAAGAGGTTGACATGTATGGGACAACAAAATACAGACTTGTTGTTATTGAGTTTGTCAACACGAACCGCTACCCGAGAGGCAATCCTAGCCCCTCCCCCGTCAGAGTGTCGGAGCAGGGCGAGTCAGTGCAACGTCAATCAAATGAGAGAGAGGGTGGGGG